CACATTTAGTTCGAACTGCACTGAAATAAATTAAAGGCAAAGTTATCAGCAACACAAAGCAGAGACTAAACATTAGCCTGGCACTTTAACAAACTGCTCTATATAAAAACATTGTAGCTGTATGTGTTGAGTCAGATACACGTTTATAAATTTTAGGTGGCAATTTGTCATGACATAGCACCTTTGTAAACCGAGCAGGATTTTGAGTCCGACATGCAGGGATTCCAGGTTGAAAAAAATATACCTTTCACTCTAAAGAAAAGAAGATACTGCAGCCTCATGACAACAATTGGTTAGTATATAATAAAAATAATAGGGGTGCAACAGTGAAAGTATTTGTATGGAAAATATCCAGGACATCCCTGTCGGTTCTTCGATACACGCGTGTACCAAACAAACACAGCGTTGTTTTATACTGAAACACATGTTTATGTGTGGGACGAAGCACATGAACCAAGTAAGAAATTGATCAGATGTAGTCTTTTATTTTACTGCTTTATTTAAAAGCTACCAAATTTTCAAGCATGTACATGGCATTGATTTGATAAAACTATCTGACTGGCATTTGGTATCAACAAATTCTTATTTTTTATAAAGTTGGACAGTGTCAGGGCCAAAAAATCTTGAACAGATATTGCTAAAGAAAACATGTTTGTTCTTGTGAATCCTAAGGGAGATTAAATGTTTATCAATCTACATGTTGGTACACAATGGAGATCTATCATGCTCTAAGCAATATTTGAAGAGGTGGATATTATTCTGTGCAACAGTATCAGAATCACTGAAACAACACAAAGGTACTGAGATTGGTTTGAAACAAAGTTAAACTAAAATTTATTGAGCTACTTGCAGTTTGGCCATAGTAGATTAATGTCTTGTCAAAAGTAGAGGCTGCCAGGTGAGAAATAGACCAGCATGGATTAAGAGAGGTAACAGCCATCAGTGAGCAGTTGATTTAGGTTCTACAGAGTACGTGAAAAACAGGGTGGTGTCTTAGTCTGTGACTGATACTAGATAACTCCATGTTGCAGTAGACACTGAATTATTAGTTTCTGGAAACGATATTTTTGGAAACTTGATTACCTGTTTGAAATGACCTTCAAGGATTCTAAATTAAGGGGTTGAAGTCATAGCTGGAACAGTTGCAATTGGATTTAAAGTCAAGGCAAATTGTAGGTGTTTTTCCATTACCTGCACAATGACAATATAGATGAAATTCTAAATGATACTATGAAGAAATCACATCCTCTGAATCATAGTGGCTGAGCATCACTTCTGTCTTGTGTAAAAATCGAAAAGCATACCCTTTCTTAAATTGGCGCTAACTTGAGATGCACAATGTATTGAATCTCATTTATCATAATTTGTACAGTATCGCAGTCCCAAAAGACTGCTTGATCTAGATTATAAAAATTTAGGCCCCATGCACTCCAAACTGTTTGCCAATAATGTATTTGGCCACTTGGATTGGCTTTCACTGTTCATATGTAAACTAAAGCTTACTGGCTGGTATGCTGAAGCTCAGGGAGAGTGGTGACGACATTATTTGTTGCAATCGATGATGATATCACAATTCTAAAAAAACACACTGCAATTTCAGTTTTAGGCATGAGGTAGCTTGCGATTTTCACTCAATAATAACTTTTAGTAAAGATTACAGAGTATTAACTCAAAAATTTCAAACAAAACTTTAAGACATGATCTAATTTCTTTCAAAAAAATAAAATCAACCAATATTACATTGCTACTACTAAATCATAATGATCATTGGGTGCAGCTGTGGCACATGTGGCTTGGTGGCTGCATGTCTTCCCCCTCTCTTCACCCCTTCCTCTGGACTTACTAATGGAAATAAAGACCACTAGTGCCGAAAGAAATCGAATAATAAAATTCTAGTACTGATTATTACAGTTTTTAAGAAATTTACTCTAGGGCATTTTTTATTGTTGTAACTGAGGTTTAAGCATGTTAAGACTCATGCATTTTATGTACTTATAACAATTAATTAAAAAAAATTTTTTTAGCTGAAGATGTTACAAGAAAACAATAATGAATTCAAACTTTACTTACAAGTTGTCAAATAAAAATTTAAGTCAATCAGCAAAAAACGGTAGGTCTTTTTAAAAGATTGTTTTAAGAGATTTGCACAGTTGTTGAATACTAAAGCAAAGTATGGAACAAAGATCTGTTGAATTTGGTAGAAGCATTTTTGTGCTTATGGATTGACTGGTGTGGAAGTGTGCCGGAATAGGGAATACAGTTCCACTGTGCTCCAAACTACGATCATCCCAAAACCATCACAAGAATTTGGTAAAAGTGAATTTAGGCCGTATGATAGGTACGATAAACATTTTATTGGTTTTGAAACTGTAGCTTTGTTAACACTGAGACCAGTAACCAGCCCATGTTGTATTATGTCTCCCATAAATTGTGCAACCTTACTAATTGGTAAGTTTTTTTTGTTTTTTTTTTTCAACTCAATTTTAATTCATTAGAGCTGAAAATAAATTTCTTCTCTTAATAGACAAGATTAGTCAGTTTGGTTTCTGATTAAGCAGTGAAAGTTCAGTGATAGAATTTAAATTTGTAGTCTTGTTGAGTTTTACATACAATTTATGCTTTGTATATATACAAAAAAAATGTTTAATGAAAGCTCGTCTAAATTCTTAGAATGTGTCTGGCCAATATATATATTTTTTTACATATTTAGGTTTTGTGGAAGCAATTATTATCATTATTATTATGAATGAGAGCTTGAGTTTGTGACCATTAATTTCAAAGGCTTAAAATCCTAATTGCCATCTCCTTCTTTTTCATTTTAGTGTCTTCCTGAGGGCTCATAAAACATCCAAAATGGACCATAAATTTTCACATGGCAATTTCTTAGAAATATGAAGCATACATTTTAGTGAAAGATTTCAACTGTTGGCAGGTTTATTTCCCTCGACAGTAGAAAAAAAAAAAGTAAAACTGACCTTGGAGAAACAAATGCCTCCACTTGTGTGAGCTTTACTCAAACCCCACTCTTGTGTTCTTTTCAGTGTAGTACAGAAAATTTCATTTCTTTAAGAGACATAGCGAGGGAAAGGTAAAGTAATTTTGCAAAATATTTCCTATTTTTCACCTTTGCTTATGTCTAAACACTGCGGAGGGTGAAAGAAGTGTCCCTGAACAGGAGGCAGTTCGCGGTGATGGACTTTGCTGTGAATCTGTGGCTCATTGGTACAAGGTTAAGTGAGCATCTGTTGGTCTCAGAACATATGGCGATTAGGCTATGTGGGTGCCACCGTAGGGTGACAGGTGGAGGCCATTACTATTTATCTAACAGGGTTTCATAACATGTAAAGGAATGGTCCAAAGAATCACCTAAAAACAGCTTGTGGCAGAAAAGCTGGTTGGATTACCTTTCATACCTAATAAACTTTTCTGTTTTCAGATAGACTGTCGTCATTGTTCCTGGGAATCAACCCTCCAATTTAAAAATCAGAATTTTGCTCCCAAATTACGGTTTTTGTTAAACTTTGACCTGCCAATACTGATTTTTGCTGATTCGGTTTAAGAACTTTAAAAACTGCAGCAAAGAAATTATTTTTTTCCCCAAGTCTTCCTTTTGTCAGAGGTTATCAGTTACTTGTATATTGGGAGCAGGAAGGTTGTGCTACCTGTGAGAGAAATATTTTATTGCAGCACAGCGATTTACTATAAAAAAAAAGAAAATTTAGATTTGAATTTATCTTACCATCTTATATTAGGGCTCAGCGTGGGTTGCGTGATTAGCAATACCGAAACAGCGGTGTCGGTGTGCATTCCATGGAGAATATAGATCCTAACCTTAATTCTGATTTCTGTTCCATGACAGAATCCGTGGCGCAATATGTGGGTATGCAATACATGCGGTGCATAGGGGTGGTGGGCTAGAGAGGGCGCCAAAGCGATGGCGGTAAAATTATTTCTAGGTGGAATTTTCTTTATTTAACAGCTGTTTGTGCATGTGTACATGATATGTTCTATAACAGAGGCAAGTCCCTGATTATGCCCCCCTCAGCGCTTCTTTGCCACTTCTGTGCCCCCAGCCTACACACACACAATAAAGGCAGTCCAGTGCGTGCTCCCTCCAGCACAATCGTTCCATTTGAAACGTCTTGTCATCTGATGACAGGTAGCTAACGATGGAGAGGCAGATGAAGGGATGAAAAAAAGCTTTTCCAAGTGGTTGAAAAACAGTAGGTCAATTATGTCAGTGTATCAAGAGAAGGCTTGCAAATATTCAGGTTAGCTAAAGCTACTGCTAGCAAAATGACAGGTTACTGTTGTTTTGCAACTATGTACTGATAATTTTTTAAAATATAACAGATGACAAGAAAAATACAGGAACTTGTTTGTGGTTATTTTGTTGTTCAGAAAGTAATCATTTGTTTAACTAGATGGTGAATTATAAAACAGATAAAGTATCTGATAAGTCTGATCAGATGCAGCTTCCAATCAGTAACTGATATCCAATAAGTATATAATTTAAAATTAAATGTAATGTTTTTTATATGTAGTTTAGCTGCAGTATTTTTGAAACCTCATTAACACAAAGTGCATGTCATTCAGCTGTAAGGATGGGGAGAAAGAAGAGAAGAATAAAGAGAAAGAATCAGAACAGCACGGGGAAAGCAACAGTCTATCTATTGTGTCTGCGTTGGCCTGTAATGTCTGCATACCCCTCAGAAAGTGGGTAGTTGCACCCCTACAGACAATGAAAGCACAAAAGGTTCAACTTTCGTAAATTCCATTCAGTCTTTCGGATACCTCCTTAAAGTTTCACTCTCTTGTAGCCTGAATGGACTAGACATGTTTTGAATGTAGTTTTGTTTTGAATAGCTATGGGCTGTTGACCTTAAAAAAAAAAAGAATTTTTCTTTTTGTAAAATTTTTTTTTTGGCACTTGTGGCATTTTGTTAACAGTAAATTGACCCGAAAGCAGGTAAAGGAAGAAGGGGAAGCCATACAACAAATGGCACAAGACTGGAATTCGAACCCAGGACACCCACATTGGGGATTATAGCCCCTGTACATGGTGCGTCTGCCACCTGAGCCACATTGCGCTCCAAAAAAAGATGGTATTTTATGGACCAGCCAGCCATCGGTCAAGGCTACTCAAACTAAGAAAACATCCACTTCTGGTTAGCAGCCTATTTCTTGATACAACTCTTCTTTTATTCTGATCTGGCTTTAATTTCTGAACTTATATGCATCGCTTCTTCAATGAGAGGTTTAGTCAGAAAGGGAGGAGAGATATTTCATTAAGTAGGTCTTTGACTACTGACATTTAGAAACTCGTGTGTGTTAAAAGGAGATCATGCAAGCAGTAAAGTAGATGTTCTAGTTTTCATACATACACACATGCACAGTGTCAGCACACATGATGTATGGCACTGCTTCTAATCAGCATATGATTTTTGTCCTCCACTCTCCATCCTTGTTGTCATTGTTTCTTTTAGATTTACAAACCCACTCTCTTCTCATGTGCCATATGCGCTAGCAGATGCTATCGTCTCAGCCCAGAGGAAGAAGACAGATGACCTGTCTTTACAAGTGAAGCTGAGAAATTGTTTGTGTTTTGTTCTAGTGTGTGTGTGTGTGTGTGTGTGTGTATGTGTGTGTTTGTGTGGTGGAGAAGCATTCACATTTGCATTCTGCAGAGCTGTTTTCACAAAAGCTGTCTGCACTGTAACAATGGCTTTCCCTCTCTTGCTCTCATGGGCCAGGTTTTTAGGGGGAGAAGAAACATTTTAATTTTTTTAGGTATAGACTGTTAGCTGGACCTTACTGAAGACATAAGGTGTCACAGAAAGTAAAGCTTTCTGAACACAGTCACCATAAATACCTCTCCAGCCAGCAGTGTTATAAGCATTTTTATTGATCCATTTATCAACAAAACATAAGAAAGCATTCCCTAAAGGCCTACAGAGCTGGATTGATATGACACAATCTTCCAACATCCTTAGTGGAGACTTTGCCAACATTGCAATTAAACCACAGCCTGCTTTATTTACAAGACTATCACATTTAATTAATGCGTGTAGAATTCAGAAGCCCAAGCACCCCTCAAGAAAAGAAGTGCCGCTTTGCTTAATTACTGCAGAAATGAAATTTTAATAAAGCTAACAGAAGAACTCGACATGCAATCAGGAAGCCATTAAGTAGATGAAGGTAATCCTACAGGACTGAAGTAAAATTAGAAATCCGCTGTGAAAAACAAAAGCTGTTAGAACAACAAGACCAAGTGCTAGAAAATTGACATGTGATTAGTTTTTTTTTTTCTATTAATTAGTTCGATTTTTTTCCTTTTAATTAATTGGATTCTTCAAAGAAAAGTTGTAAGAAAAGGAAATTACATTCATCTACAGACCTTTCTGTAGATTTAAAAATGTTATATTCAGATTCATTTTATTTAATAAAGCATGACAACACTATGAATAAATGGTGCTGGCCATCACCGATAGTCTAATATATTATTTTTTTTTCTCTGTGTGTTTATGCTTAACATAAATTCAAACAATCGAGGAATATGGTGATAACGTATGAGTGGCCAAGAGTAAGACAAATGTAAATGTAAATGTTCGATGTTTGGCCTAGCCATGGGAGGAACAAAGAGGACTGAACTAGACACAAAGTTTGAATCCCAGAATGCAGTTTTAACCCATTCTCATGCACAGCTCACAGAAAGGAGGAGTTTCACAGCTGGAATCCCCGTGATTACATAGGAGTATACAACTCTATTAAAAGAGCTGCAGCTCTTTTTCTTTGTCCTCAACTTTCTCAGGTTGCATTGGGGGGGGGGGCACGCACATGGACGTCTTGATCACGCTGGCTAGTAAAAGATGGCATCTTTCTAGAAACCTTGGATCCAAAGTAAAGTACAGTTCTCTGTTTGAGTATCCAGTGACTGTTCCCTGTCCGAAAATAAGAGGAGCAAACCTGCCTGAGCTCCTGCAGAGAAGAATCTGAGACAAGCCTCCCCCAAGAAGAGACGGTTACCCTATTGACCTGGACGAAGTAGTTTTTCCCCACTGCCTGAAGACAATGGCATTGAAACAGCAGCTTCACACGCATGAAGCATAAATCATTTGCTTTGCATTGTGAACTGGCTGAACAACTACCAGTTGTTGTTCTTAATTAGTTTTAAAGCTAATATGGCCTCAATAGAAATCCCTCAAAACAAACCTTGAATTGTTCTTGAATATACATATCCACACTTAACTGTGATATCACTACATCAATTTATTATTTTCAGTTCTGTTTTTTCTTTTTTTCATAGTTTATTTTAATTTTTACTAAGTAGTTTAGTTGAATTTTACTAGTCTAGTTAGTTTGTTGTCTGAAGTATTTTAAGTTGAAGCTGTAGCATTTTGTTAATAAATTCTTGCATTTTGAAGAGAAGTTGTTTATTCTGAATGTGTGCAGGGCTTGTTGTTTGAGAATTGAAATCACTTCTTCATCTATTGTTCTATAAAACCACACCTCACCAGGCAGAGCTGTTTGGCTATTAATTCCTGATAATCAGGTAGTGTCCCGACTTGGTAATTTGATTAAAATGACATTTGTTAATAATTGCCTTTGGCACTTATTAATAGTTATGCATAGCCAAACTGAATCTATTGTTGCACAACAGCAATATGATGACAAGCAGACATGATCAATAAATGTGGAGCGACCTTAGCCTTGTCTGGTCCGTAAAACAAGCATTTAAATGCGGCAGAAAGCAAAAAAAAAACAAAAGCAGATATGTAGCATGGTAAACATTATTCTGAATGAGGCTTGTGTTACTACCAAGAAGACAGCATTTTGAAAAAGGCATTCCAGGGAAGCTCCACCTTGATGCATTTAGTAAATATATACTTGTAAGAACAGCTTGTGAGAAATCTGTAAAACAAATCAAAAGGAGGCTAGATGCTTAAGGCACTGTGCCACTGCTGTCTCTCAGCTCTGCCAAAAACTCACTGAGTCATCATATGTAAAGATAAGATAAGTTTATTGTCCATCACATTTTGAGATAGAGAGATTTATGGCTCTCTATTAACTGAGGCTTGCAAATTGTAATTAATTTAGTGTTGTTATATTTCCCAGAGAGCTTAACAGAAATCAATAGAAGTCTAAATTAGGTGGGTACATTTTCATGTTTAACTAGGTTATGATTAAATTGTCTACTTTTATCCATTAATGTGCCTGAGAACAATACACTTGGCATCATAATCCTAAAATTTACTCTGTTTATAATAAAAAGCATAATGGTAATGAGAGTTCCTTATTGTTTGAAGGTTTGAACCAAGGTATACACTACTGTGCAAAAGTTTTAGGCAGCTCTGAAAGACCAAAAGAGAAATGTAAATCCAATCAATATTTGATGTGACCACCCTTTGCCTTCAAAGCACCATCAATTCTTCTAGGTACACTTGCCCACAATTTTTTGAAGGAACTCGGCTGGAGAACAAATCACAGATTCTTCTGTGGATGTAGGCTTTCTCATATCCTTCTGTCTCTTCATGTAATCCCAGACACACTCAATGATGTTGAGATCAGGGCTCTGTGGGGACCATACCACCAGTAAGTCTTGTTCTTCTTTATGCTGAAGATAGTTCTTAATAACTTTGGCTGTATGTTTGGGTTCGCTCACTTAGCATTTTGTAAATTGGTAAAAATAAACAATCAACATTTATATTTGTGAAAGCAGTCTTTGTTTACGGCATTCTTTCACACTTGCCTAAAAATTTGGCACAGTGTACATTTAATAAAAAGATTTTTATACATACAAATAATTCATACAATTATAATTGTAATGTTCGGTCTAATGTTGAAGCTCATTCACTTTTGTATATAAAGCTAGATCACAACAAAATACTTTCTTAAGGAATTGTTACATATTATGTCCATTTATAAAACAAAATAAATAGGCTCATTTTATGTATCTTATTTACAAAACGTCATGTGATTTGTGTCTCTTCATGTTCTCTCTGTGTGGCTTGGAGTGTCACGCCAATGCACGCAAACACATGCACACACTTGGCACGGTCTGGTTACCAGTCTCAAGGTACAGTAGTAGTTTAGAAAGTTTCTGAGTCTAAACCACAAAAATCTTCCTTCATACTGTTTCTACGGAGTCCCTTTAATAAAAAAAAAAAAAAAGAAAAAAACTGACAGTGTTGCCTGGCTCAGTGGCAAGCCATTTAATACAATGAATGAATGTCATGGACAACATTATTTTATTGAAATAACCAGCATATTATATTCAGTGTAATAATGGTTGTTTTTTCTATTTATATAAAAGCAGCTAGATAATGTTATATGTTTTTGTTTTTAATTTTTGTGTTCAAACTGTGAAATTATGTTTTCAGCAAAATTATTGAATTTACCAGCAGTGCAGATCTTTAAAGAAACTGAGAAGTAGAAAAATGTGAACTGAAATAGTATGCACACTGTGAAGTCAAAAGTTATGTTCTATTTAAAAAAACAAAATTAATTTCAATTCAAAATTCAAAAATACTTTTTAATCCCAAAGGGAAATTAAATGTTGTTGTAGCTCATTATGTAGGTTTCTTCAGAGCCATTGTAGATGCTGATGGCTGTGGGCAGGAAGGATCTCCTGTAGCGGTTTGTTTTACAGCATATTTCCAGAACATAATTTGCTCATCGTGAAACAGCATCTGTTACCAAAGAAAAATAGCAAACCTAAAACTTACTGTTCAATCAGCAACTGATCTAGTTTCCTCCATAGTATGGAGATAATTCCTTTATGACTTGGTGGGTTTTCCAAGTAGCCACTATCAGGCTTATTAAAAATATTGATACCATTGAGCTGTTTCACATTTTTTCACATTGCAACACCATATCTTAATATGTTTTTTTAAGATTGTATATAACTGCCCAACACAGTAGTAGTTGTAGTAACTGTGAAGTGGAAGGAAAGGCATCATGAAGACCAAGGCACCAGATAGGTAAAAAAAAGTTGTGGGCAAGTCTAAAGCAGGGTTAGTTTATAAAACAAAATCCAGACTTTGGTCATGCCACAGATCTTTGTTCAGCTCACCACAATTGCAAACTTTCAAA